AAGAGCTTTCTCCGCGTGGTAAATCTCGCCGGAGGGTCTACCGTAATCGTCGGCGTCGTCGGCATGCGCGACGGACATCGTTTCTTTGCGTTTACCTTTCGTTGTCGTCGTCTTCGTTATCCTCGTTCGGAGTCAGTTCCAAAAACCCATGATCCTGGTTGCATTTCTTCTTCCTCGTTTACGTTTTTCTCTTTCGTTCATCGATACCCAGATCGCGAAATCACAGATTTTCTCGCGAAAGAAGGGAATCACGGAAAAGCGAGACAAACGGGAATCTGGGTCTTATCCTTTCCTTTTCTGATTTCAACGCAGAAAAGGATCGTATCGTGAGCGAAGGGCGGGGGAAGAGAGAGAGCGGAGACGAAAATGGCCGAAACGAAAAACAAAAGAAATCGTGCTTATCGTTTTTGTTGAAATTTCGAATGAAAATTAGAGTTTGGTAATAGCCATTGTTGTTGGAGCTCCATCTTTCGGTTCCTAAAGAGACTATCGAACCAGACAATTGGAGGGACGAGCGACAATACAAACGACGTGGAGGCCGTGACGATGATGACGTCATTTTCTTTTCCTTTTAGTTATTTTTAGCCGCCTCTTGCAACCGATGTAGTAACATTATTTATATTTATATTCTTTTTCATAAATATTCATACATATATATATATATAAAGCATCTTTAATTCTTAATTTTCTTTTTTTTACCCTAAATTAAAATTTTAGTCCCTAACTATGAATCCTTAATACAGAGAAGGTAATTCTCGATTATTTTCTCTTTTTCTTAAAAATTCTAAAATAAAATATTCTGTTTTAAGGAACATTAAATATCAAATAAAAAAAGCTAAAGATCGAATCATATATTAAAAATTTTCTTCTTTTTAGCAGATATATTAAAAAATATGATTTTTTCGCAACTATATAATCCCATTTTACAACTTAGAATATTTTATAAATGGTGTCTAAATCCCATTTACAACTTAGAGCAAGTGTATAATCCCATTTTGAAATTACACGTGTTCATCTTTATTTTTGAATACTTTAAAAATTAAAATATATATTTATACGAAATTCATATTATATTTTGATTTATTGAACTAAATATAATTGAAAATTTATGAAAAATGAATCATAATAAAACGAATGCTCTTTCATTGAAATTTTAGTCCGGAATTCCAAGCCATTAGTTTTGTGCTTCAAAATGTATTTTATAGAGTTGCTGAAATGATTGTATTTTAGGATATGATTTTTGTGTTTTACTAAAATAAATATCACACGACGCATGTAACAACTGTTCATATTAATTTTATATATCCCCCATAAATTCAAATATTTTTTTTAAAAATGTCCGTCGTGGCATCATCCAGCTGTTTTAATAATATTATTTTTTGCATGATTTAAGTCATAATTTATAAGAGGGGGTTACTAAAACAACCGATATGCATTTCATATATTTCGGATTCGTATAATATGATGGTTATTATTATTGAAGAAAAATATGAAGCTACCATATTATTAATTAATGTAATAGTTAAGGATAAGATGCACTTGGTTCATCTCTCAAAAGTCGTGCAGGGCTCACTCCTTGGAGTCAACTTACCGACCAAACCGTATCATAGGACTCGGAGTTTATTTATTTAAATATAGAAAACCGTTAAAAAAACACATATTTTACTAGAATCTATACTAATGGGTAAAAGATTCATAACTTTTCTCGCTAAGAATGGATAACATTTAAAAACCGTTTGTACAATGATATCCTTCCGTATATATATATATATATATACACCCTTCCGTAACTAAAACATACGTTTCCAAAAGAAAAATAATGGGATTATTAGGTCTACGGCCCAATTAATAAACAAAGCTCAAAACTGATTGGACTAATTACACATAGATATAGTGATCTGAAACCCAATTACTCTAATGGGCCTATGCCAAAAAACGGCCGAGGACTGAAAAGCTCAAGAGTCAAGCTTCAGGATAAAAGTCAGCCGCAATATTTGAAAAACCAAATATAAAATAATTGGTTTTAAAATCTTAGGAAGATGTCCGAAGGGGTTTTAAATTTTGGCATCTACATAAATATTAAACTATTCAATATGTCAATCGAACATCAAAACTATTTTTTTTATTTAACCTACCATTGATTTTACATTTGATTTCGGTAGTAGATTACAATATCTTAATTGGATACCTGAATAAAAATAATTGTGATATTTAATTGAATATGAAAGACAAATTTAGTGGAACAAATCTAATGCACACACATATGTACGAGTCCACATCATGGCATCTTTATGAATTATATAAGATAAGTTCATGGGAAACGTCAAGAGCATCATACAACAAACAAGAAGCCAAGAAGTCAACAAAACCGACAAACAAGTTGGCCAATAATGCAGGAGATATTTTTGACCATGAAGAATGGAGAAATTGTTCAATACAAGTGACTGACAAACAGTAACAACAATATCAATGCCAATCTCATGAACATCACACATCAATCGCCATATTCGATTTCACTTACCTTGGAGTCGAAGGGTAAATGCATGCAAAGAGACGAGCACTTGTTTCAGCTTCTCCTTTGCCGCTTCATCGATCAAGTTGCCATCGCTGTCAAATTTCGCAGGAGGCTGGAACGCGTTCAGCATAAACTCGGGTTTGTTGATGAAGTGAAGGTCGAGGAATACTCCGATTTGGCGAAGATGATAATGAGCTCGTCCTCCACCAAAACCTCCGCCAGCGCTTATGATGGCAGCAGGTTTATCGGCGAAAACATTGGGCGGTCTTGAAGCCCAATCAATCGCGTTCTTCATAGGTGCTAACATAGTAGTAGTTGGCCGCAGAAAAAGCGTTAGCTGATGCGAACAAGCATGTGAATGTGATAACTTCAACTCTTCAACACATGTTTACTATGCAGCTTCAAGAAATCGATTTGCTTGAACTAATATCAACCTATCAGAAATCTACGGAATTTCTTTAACCCCAAAGCTATAAAAAGAATTAGCAAACATTTGTCATCTCTTGCATGCCATGAGTTAAAAAAAGCCAAGAAAACAAACAGTGTGTATAGATCCCACAAACAGACTGCAGGAGCATTTCGTTTTCAACACGACAGATAATTTGGTCAGACGAGTTGAAAAATTGTGGCAAATGGAAAATCAAGTAAGCCTGTTTCAATTCCACATGATAAATCAAGTTAAACAACAGCTTCATATGTTTCTCAACATGAAATTCTCAGTAAGACCCTTAAATCTTATTGTCCTACCAGCAAACCTTGGCACAATCTTAGCATTCCATCTTTAGACATCTCAGAGTCTACAACAGGCGAAACACGACCCAAATGTCCTTCACAGCAACACATACACAACCCAAACGTTCTTAACAGCAAAACATTCAGATCGCATCATTCACCGGTTTTATGGCAACCACACCCATCGATTATGTAACATCAATATCATTAATATCTCAAAGAACACCTACTCAATCCCACCTAAACAGTATCCTAAATTCGGCATTCAGTTATTCAATCTATGTCCAACGAATACTCAAAATTTCTCAACTCAAACAAATCCAAGTACGAACCTCAAAAAAGTAAAGTCTGAGTACCTGCGACAGAGTAATTGTACTCAGGCGAAGCGAAGAGGATGCTGTCGGCTTGTAGAATCTTCTGTCGGAAAGCTTCGACGGCCGGAGGATAAGTCCCGTCGACCTCCAAATCGGTGTTGATCATCGGTAACGGAGATATATCGATGTACTCAATTTGCACTCCGTTCACAGATTCCTTCGTCAAATCCATGGCTACAATCACATTTCCCCAAAAAAAAAAGCCCTACAATTTCAACAAATCCATCGCGACGTGGTGAAATCGAGGGAGAGAGGGAAGGAGGTATTACCGGCGCGTATGAGACCGCGATTGTAGGAAGCTTTCCGAAGAGAACCGGAGAGAGCTGCGACTCTGATCAAAGGCTTCGCCGCCGTTATTGCTTCCATTTCCACGATTAAGCCGCCGCCGCCGCCGCCGAGGTCGAGAAATTCCGATGAGAACCGAGATGGGAAACGCGGGCGTAGTTTCCTCCAAATAATATTTTTTTTTCTCCAACTCTTCCTCTAACTATAATATATAACGGAATTTTATTTCATATTTTCTTCATAATAATAGTAATAATTTCTAAAGACGTATTTGGGGTTGGTGGCATGAACCTTGCATGTCCTTCCCCTTTGATTCGTACTTGACGAATTGATGACGTAAGCAGGTGCCTCCATAATGGAGGTCTCTAAATTAATTAACACTTTGAAAGATAAAAAAAGTATGTGCTAGGGTTTCCCATATGTCTGCTTTGGTTACGTAAAATGGAATTAAATCGATTAAATAAATAATGAATGACTATATCTGAGTTGAGAAAAGAAAGATTAATCGAAATAGAAGGTAATAAAAATATCGAATGGATCAACTTTTAAATTTAATGTTTTTATAAAAATAGAATCTATAATCAATTCTAAGTAGAATGGAAATAAAATAAAATCCAAAATAAAAACTAAATTATATAATTTTTAAAACAAAAAAAATAGAAAAAATAAATAAAAACAAAGGCCCCACCCAAGTATTCCGGAAAAAAAAGTTAAAAACAATAACTGAAGCAGTACCTATGGACGTGGAAATGGATAGGCCCAAATAATATTGAAATAAAGCCCAAAGCCCAAAATAATCAATCGAATGTTCTATTGCTGACGTGATAAAAAAACTTTTTTTTAAAAAAAAAAATTGCTGATGTGGTAAAAAAATGGCGTAGCTTATTATGCAGAATATATTTTGTTAATTGGGGAGCATATGAATTAGTTTTTGAGTTTGGTTTGGGAAAATCCCAAAATAATATGCGAACTTTTCAATTTTTCAAAAAAAATCTAAACTGTATTTCTTATCAAATAAAACATGAACTTTATAAATATTGTATTTTTTAAATCCAACCGATGATATGGTATAAAATGATGATACGATTTAGTAAAGGTTATAAATTGTTACATCAATAGTTGGGTTTAAACATAACAAATTTTAGGGTTTTTTAATTCAAAAAATGAGTTCGCGATTTTATTTGAATAACATAAAGTTTAGATTTTTTTTTCTGAAAACTTGAAAAGTTGAGATTTTTTTTTTTTGGGTTTTGTTTTTATAGTTTCTTTATTTGTTTTCTGTTCTCGGATTCTTTTTCCCGTTAACGTGCATCCATTTACCAGACCCATATATGGATTTTCAATGGCACGATTCCAACACATTCGATCCCTTCTATTAGTTAATTGTTTTTCTTCTTCTTCTTTTGTCAATTTGTTTGAATTTAAGAAATCCTTGATTACGCGTCCTTCGTCGCCAGCTCCCCCTTGCATTAATCCTGTTCCGTCTGCTGATTTTTTTTTTTCCTTTGGCGACCGTCCTTCTCTCTCTCCAGGTGTGTTTCCTTGTTTGACTTTGAAGTTTTTAGTTCTCTCTTTCTATTATGAATCTGATTGCTTGAAATTCTATTCAATCTCCGCTTTACGCTTCGAAACTCGGAAATGGATGATCTGGGTTGCTGTTTGTTCGCTTGAAATCGTTGCTTTTTCTAGGGTTTTTCTTACGCTTGCGTGCATCATGTATGCCGAGGAAAACTGGAAATTTTCCACAAACCCTGAAATATATCGAAGTAAAACGCTTTTCGTTATTTCTGGTTCTTTTTCGTATCGATGGGTTTCTGGGTTTTGCCCCCTGTACATGAATCATTACGATGAATCAATATTTATTCGATTCTATGTTTTTCGTATTCTTAAATCTTATTCGAATGCTCGCCAAAGATTTTGGTTCGAGGTTCGCGTATAAGAATTGTTTGCAGTTCATGCCTTATTGGTTTAGTTTGTGGTCGATCTTACTATCCTGCATCTGAAAACGATTGATCTTTGAAATGAAGTCTTCTTTTTCTTCCTTAAAGTGTGCTCATTTATTCATCACCTTCATGTGATCTAATATCGCAGGCAATTTGTAAATTGAGCAGAAGGGTCCACTGCTATGTAGTAATTGCGCTGCTAAGTTTGGAAGCTGTACCGGTGGTCCATTAGTATTGCAGTATAAGTTGCCTCCATTATAGTTGCCATTAGTTAGTGGAAATTAGCTGTGGTTTGGTGGAATTAACAATGGGAAAGGCCTCTGGACTGCTTCTGTTTCTGTTGGCTTTTGGGTTCTTTGTTGTCACGTATAATCTTCTCACCCTTATCGTCCACAATAGATCCAGAGTGGGTGATGACACGAATGGTGGTACAGTTCTAGATCCTATTGTTCAGATGCCTGACAATATGAGAAAGATGAAGAGCTCCCGACCACGTTTCCATGTTGCCTTAACAGCAACAGATGCCCCTTATAATAAATGGCAGTGTCGGATAATGTACTATTGGTATAAGCAAAAGAAAGATATTCCTGGTTCAGATATGGGAGGCTTTACCCGGATTTTGCACTCTGGTAATCCTGATAATTTGATGGACGAGATACCCACATTTGTGGTCGATCCACTTCCACCAGGCCTTGATCGGGTGAGCACTTTTTTAAACTTTTTTCTTAGTTTCTGAAATTTTCTGCAATCGAGTTAACTGGTTTGTCAATCCTGTATTCAGGGATACGTCGTCTTAAATAGGCCGTGGGCATTTGTGCAATGGCTCGAAAAAGCTAATATCAAGGAAGAGTAAGTTTTGTTCTTTTGGCGGTCGGTTAAGTTATTCTTTTCAACTTCTCTAATGTCCTTCCTTTTAATCATGGTGCAGCTATGTGTTGATGGCAGAGCCTGATCATATATTTGTTAATCCTCTTCCCAATTTAGCTAGTGGATCATACCCAGCGGCTTTTCCATTTTTCTACATTACACCCCAGAAATATGAATCGGTAGTCAGAAAGTATTATCCGGAAGATATGGGTCCTGTGACGAATATTGATCCAATCGGCAATTCTCCTGTTATCATACGGAAGGTATAAGCTTTCATTCCTTTTCAGTGGTATGTGAAACCCTACTTCTGTATGTGTGATGTGTAGCAAAACGTTGCTCTTTGGGTTGATACATTAACCTTGATTGTGACTTTTGTACGTACCTTAATGCAGGAATCACTCGAAAAGATTGCTCCTACGTGGATGAATATCTCGATAAGAATGAAAAATGACCCCGAGACTGATAAGGCTTTTGGATGGGTTTTGGAAATGTTAGCACTGAAAATGAATTCTCCGTTCGTATTTTTTTTCTCGCAATGTTAGTTCTCGGGCTTTGTTTTCTAATGTCGTGTTTTATTTTGGTCAATAAGGTATGGCTATGCTATTGCTTCTGCTTTGCATGGAGTACGGCATATCCTCCATAAGGATTTTATGCTGCAGGTTGGAAATATAACCTTTTCTGAAGCGTTGTATAATTGATTCCTCCTTTGGTTCATTGGTTTGTTCATTATTCTTATGAACTGTTTCCACTGCTAACCTTTCAGCCTCCATGGGATTTGTCAACAAAGGGAAAGTTCATCATCCATTACACTTACGGATGTGATTACAATATGAAGGTGACTTCTCCTTCACATATTTGCTTGAAATTTTTTTCTCTTGTGACGTAATAGAGATCAGCCTTTATTTGTTCTGGTGCCTGATTGATTGCTCCAAGTCTAACGACGATGGAGTCGAGGGTTTAGGAAAAAGATAAAACAGGAAGAATTTTATTGAAAGTTAAGAACTTAAGGTACCATCCAACAAGGATATCCCTTTTCCCAAGCCGATATAATTCCTCGGAAAAAATCTGATAGCATCTTGATTTATAGGTCCCTTGAAAACAAATATCAAATACTACAAATTTGGAGCACTAATTATGCTAAACCAAATCAGAAATGGTAATCATGCCAAATCAATTATGATCTCCCTAAAGGTTGCTAAGGAGATATGAATCCTTCAATCACTTCTACAAGCTCTGGCTTGGGATTTTTAAGATCTTTATTCTAACAAGCAATCCGTTGTCTGTAATGGTGGGTTTGCCATTTCTTTCGGTTTCTTCAAGTTTTTGTTCCTGAGCACTCAACGAATTACTTTGTTTTGCATTTTCTGGAGGTATTTCTGGGCCCGAAACTGTATTAGTTTCGTATTTATTCTCGAAACCACATTGCTGAATCCTATGCACAGGGTGAGCTAACATACGGCAAAATCGGGGAGTGGAGATTCGACAAGAGATCTCATCTACAAGGTCCTCCTCCAAGAAACCTCTCCTTGCCTCCTCCCGGTGTTCCAGAAAGTGTGGTACGTTTATACACTCTATTATCTATATTAACATTCTCGCAACATAATTCAAAATACAGTTAGATTTCATCTGAATCTTCCCCGTTATGCCAATGATCAAATGTATGAATCTGCATGATGGGCACTCCCAAAAGTTGTTTTAAAGATTCAGTTGCTCTTCTGTTTCTTAGGTTTCCGTTTCTCAAATCTCACTGACAGTTTGATAAAATAAACAAGAAAGGCCAGAGACCGTGAAAATCTTTTACCAGTTCTAGCCCGAGTTTTCTGTCTTTCTGATTGAATTATGGGATCTTTTATGTTGGTTGATGAGATGCTTGTCTCTGTGTTTTGGTTTGGGGGTTGTGTTGTTGGCAATGGCAGGTGACCCTTGTGAAGATGGTGAATGAAGCAACAGCCAACATTCCTAATTGGGACAACCTCTGAGTTCTGATATCAAACAAAGCCTAGACAGACACAAAACCCTTTGTACTTCGTATGAGTTCGACAATGAAATACCCCAAGAGACAAACTTTCTTGTCTTTTTTTTTTCTTTTTTTTTTTGGAATTCATATTTGCTTTGATATCAGGAGTTGAATTAATCTATTTGTATACGTGTGAAACTAATCCAATTTTTGTAGGATTTCATGGGTTTTTTTTTCCTTCAATGGAGCAATTTCTATATAACATGAATCTAAATTTAAACAAAAAATGAATAATAATACATTACCATAACTATTTAAAAATATATTATGTACTTTTAAAAAGTACGTTAATCAAATATGATACGAATTCAAATAAAATAGAAAAATAAAAACGGTAATATTTAAAAAAAATAATTATCTCCCTTAATTAAACTAAAACAAAAAAAAACACATAAAAACAGGAAGCGATTCAAGGAATTTTCTTTATTTATTTATTTTGTCGCAATGATGCAATGAATTTTCAAAAACCCCGTGACGAGATGCTCTGCTGTTTTTATAATAAAATTGCAGCAAAAAAAAATCAATTAAAAACAAATTAAAATATTCCCACCGACACTTGCCTCCAATTATTTTGGGAATTTTTAAATATTAGAGAAAAGGAAAAAAAATGTCACGTGTGACGTCTTTCCTGATGCCTTCAGCAACTCCGAGAGACAAATCTCGACGGTACATTATAAATTTTTAACGAAATTCGTAGTTGTGCAATTGGTACGCACCATTGTGAGTGAATGTTTTTATTAAGTAATATTTATATTTAATATTTTGCCAGATGAAACAAACATTGGATCTAGATTATCTTAAAGAGATCTTTGTATTATATGGAAAGGAAATAATAAAATATTACATATTTTAAATACAATAAAAAATCATGTGCAAAAGTCTATTGATTTTTTTTTTCATAACTAGCATAGTTTTTCTGGATGTTAGACCTCATTAAATCCATCCTAAATTTGAAATCAATCTTTATATACGGACCATTTTGGTCCAAAGATTACATATCTCTCCACCAGTGGAATCGAATTCAATATCTTAAAGATAATTTTTTCACCTTTCAACCAATGTACCATCAACCGTTGGGTTTCTATTAATTACTTAGAAGATATATGATGCAAAACCTTTGTTAATCTACGAATGATAATCTAGGTTTGATTGTAATAAAATCTAATCAATTGTAACAAAATAATATAGAATATATGAATTAAATGTAATATAAAAACAATTGAATCTAATTTCTAAACAATTAAATTAATTCAATTCAAATGTAAAAATAAACAATAAAAATAATATAATATATCAATAAAAAATTAAATGGATGTATGTTATTAATATAAAATATAATAACAAAAAAAGGCATGCACCATTATTACAGACCAAAGGTAGTGGAAACTTGTGTGTTTTTTGCAGGATAAAAAGGAATAGGTGAAGGAGAAACCAATATATAACAAATAAAAAGGTGGAATATGACAATGACGTCATGCTTACGTTATAATTACATTTGTTTTGGCGGGTTTTTTTCAAAGAAACTGCATTTCATGATAAAATGGTTTTTTTTTTCAAACTGTCAACTCATTTTCCGATAATAACGTACACCAATTTATATGTATTATGAAATACTAAATTTTAAATTTTTAGTTTGAGCAATATAATAAATTAATTGAAAAATATAAAAAGTTAATGTGGAAATGACATTACGTAAATTTTAAAATTTTAACAGAGAGAATCGTAAATACGAATAATTAAAAATCTATATATTTGAAGTTACGTATCCATCCGAAAAAAAAAAAGAAGTTACGTATCCTAGATCAAACTTATTTTTCAGGCTACAACTCGTTTTATTCGGGTTCATTCCTATAAGAATTAGTCTAGTGTATATATATATATATATATTATGCTGAGAATGGATACAAGAACACACGAAAATTAATATAACTAATGGTGGAGCAACACCTCCACCACTCATGCAATTACATATTTTTTTTTTGTTGATATTATGTGATTTGTCAAGGTGAAGGTTCAAACCCGAGATGGAGCACTCTTTGTTTATACACACTTACCGGTTGAGCCACTAACTCCTGACCTCATGTAATTACATATGCATCCACTTTTATATTTTCTTGGTATTATATATATGTATATGTATTGATCTTTTAATCGATATAAATATGTTAAATGCAAATCAAATCTCTGTTTCATCTCTCCCATATCAGATTTTTAAATACCTTTTATAAAAATAATGTAATAGTTTAAGAAAATTAAAGAATAAAAAATAGTTAAAGTAATTAGTTTCCCGAAGATACACGTGAAAGTGAAACCACGAGATTTAATCTCTTGGTAAATTTTATATAATATAATGATATAACCAAAATCCCCACTATAAATACCCTCTATTGCCACACCAAAATCCCCACATATCCCAAACCTCAAAAAAAAAAAAAAAAAAAAACTATGAAAAAAATCCTCGAATTAAATTAGACAAAAGAAAAACAGTTAATGACATCCCACTATAAATACCCTCTATTGCCACACCAAAATCCCCACATATCCCAAACCTCAAAAAAAAAAAAAAAAAAAAACTATGATTTCTCATTACGTTCTCTTTCTCCAACTTCTCTTCATCCCACTAGCACTTTCACTCAACCATCAACCCAACTGTGACCTCAGCACTCCAGCCCAAGGCTCAACCCTAAAAATATTCCACATAGACAGTCCATGCTCGCCCTTCAAACCCAAAACCCCACTCTCCTGGGAGGCGCGTGTGCTTCAGATGCTTGCGGAGGACCAGGCCCGTCTCCGCTACCTGAGCAGCCTGATCGCCGGAAAATCCAATGTCCCCGTGGCCTCCGGCCGTCAGATCCTGCAGACCCCGACGTACATTGTCCAGGCCATGATAGGGACTCCAGCTCAGCCGCTGCTTGTCGCCATGGACACGAGCAGCGACTTCGCATGGTTCCCGTGCACCGGCTGTATCGGTTGCCCCTCTTCCACGGCGTTCTCTCCAGCTAAGTCTACGACATTCAAGAATGTTAGCTGCAACTCTGCTCAATGTAAACAGGTAAATAAATAATTTATTTCACGTATGCATTTATATGTGTTGCACATGCGTACACACATGTATAATGTATATGTATGCATATATATATATATATGGAATCAGTAAGGCATACAAACCCAAAGTGTTAGATCTTGAATAAAATTAACAAGAATAAAATAAAATAAGGTTAAACCTGAAGATTGTGTAAAGAAACAAAAAAAAGGAAAATGACAATATATTCTCTTAGATTCAGAGACCGTGTCAACAGAATTGTTGTTGCTCAGAAGCTGCAGGTCCCACGTGGTTTGTAATTCCCGACACTCCGCAACCTCCCAAACAACGTTCACGGGCGCCACATAACATGTGTGTGTGTATATATATAGTTGGATAACTATTTAATTATACTAGGATTTTTTTGGATCGGATTAATTTCTAGATCCATTTATACATCAAATTACGTCTTTTTTTAGACTGAAATAACTGTTTTTGTCGGACTCTATTATGCGAATCTTAAGACGAGAAAGGATAACTCTTATGGATTAGTTTCACTCATAGGTCTTATACCAAGTAAAAATAAAAGTTATCCCTTTGAAAAGACTTGAACTTTTGGATTTTCTATTTTTTTTATACCAAAATATATATACACTATTTTTGGTAACCAAATATATATACACTTAGTAAACCAAAAAAATAATTTTTATTTTTTTGGAGAATTTCGGTCGTTGGTATGCTTATACTTTTACTAGGAATTGTTTTTCAAAATCTGGCAACACAAGTAAGCTATACAACTGAGATACATAAATGCATATGCATATACAAAACATGTATTTAAATACAAACCTATTACATATATAAGGATATATATATTTATATATATACATATATATATTATTTTTAAGTTAACATGGTCGGTCGCTATGCTCATGTACATGTAAGAAAAAATCAAATATTGGGTCCCACATAGTTATAATTCCAAACATTCCAGAAAACAAAACCTTCACGGGCTTTCCAACTACACCCGACACCAACACAGAACGCACACTCACTCGTCACTAGTCACTCCTTCACGTGACACTTGCAATTGCATTTGCAGGTCCCCAACCCCACATGCGGAGGCAGCGCGTGCGCTTACAACCTCACCTACGGCAGCTCCTCCCTCGCCGGAAACCTCTCTCAGGACACTCTCCGCCTCGCCGCGGACCCTATTCCGGCCTTCGCCTTCGGCTGCGTCCGCAAAGTCTCCGGCGGCGGAACCGTCCCTCCGCTGCAGGGCTTGTTGGGCCTCGGCCGAGGGCCGTTGTCGCTACTGTCCCAGTCTCAGCCTCTCTACAAATCCACATTCTCTTACTGTCTGCCTAGTTTCAGGTCACTTAACTTCTCTGGGTCGTTGAGATTGGGGCCGACAGCTCAGCCGATTCGTCTGAAGTTCACTCCTTTGCTCCGAAACCCTAGAAGGTCGTCGTTGTATTACGTCAACCTCGTCGGGATCCGGGTCGGCCCGAAAGTCGTCGACCTCCCTCCCGGAGCTCTTGCTTTCAATCCGACCACCGGGGCCGGAACCATCATCGACTCCGGTAATAAAAATCCACCCAACTCAAAAGTGTTTTGTTTTGTCAAATTTAAATTTAAATTTACTGTTAAAAAATACGGTAAATCACGGTAAATGCTATTAAAACTGAACTTATAGTTTTTTTTTTATATATAAATTAATTTTAACTTAATAGTTACAATATTATATTCATTTATTTCGATCATTTTCTTTTCCGATAACCGGATATCTCAAAATTGAAACCAACTAATTAATTGATTAATTAATTTGCTTATGTTTGTTTGCGTTGCAGGGACGGTGTTCACTAGACTTGTGAAACCGGTGTACGAGGCGGTCAGGGACGAGTTCAGGAGGCGCGTGAAGCCACGGTCCGCCGTGGTCACGTCGCTGGGAGGTTTCGACACGTGTTACATGACGGCGATCGTGGCACCGACGGTGACATTCATGTTCGCCGGAGTGAACATGACGCTACCGGAGGAGAACATGTTGATCCACAGCACCGCTGGGAGCAACACGTGTCTTGCCATGGCCGCCGCGCCGGAGAATGTCAACTCCGTCGTGAACGTCATCGCGAACATGCAGCAGCAGAACCACCGCGTCCTCGTCGACGTTCCCAACTCTCGGCTCGGCCTGGCCCCCGCGCGTTGCTCGTGAGGACACGATGCATGGCGACAAGTTCCGGGGATTAAATCTCGCTATCAATGAAATAATTTTTTTTTAACTTGTTTGGTTTGTTGTTTGGAATTTTTTTTTTGGTTAAGGAATGTCAGTGGATTATTAGAGTGAGTATGAAGCTGGAGACTTGGAGTTTTCTTATAGCTTTAATTTGAAAGAGTTTCTTTTTCCGGTTACAACTTAAAAAGGTAATAAAATGATAATTTTTAATTTTCTATGTATTTTAAACGAATCCAATGTTTCTATCAAATGAGTTTTTGGTGGGCTGGTTTCTAATCCAACTCATTAATGTTTTGCGCTATCAATCAATTACAATATCCAATTTTAGATTACAAAGTTTCGAATGTTAAAAATGCTGATCCAAGTCATCAGTTCAGCAAGATTTGCCATCAACCTTTCCGAAATGTAGGACATTAAAAAAATTTACTCGTTACTCTTAGAAATATAAAATATTAATTGTAAACAGAAATATAAGCTGGAATAGCTCAGTTGGTTAGAGCGTGTGGCTGTTAACCACAAGGTCGGAGGTTCAACCCCTCCTTCTAGCGTTGTTTTATCTTTTTCGGTAATTCTACTCATGGTTAATTCATCCAAACAACCCTGAACCGGGGTTTATCAAAATCACATCGTGAACAATGTTATCGGAACATCCAAACAAGTTCCTGATAAACACTTCCCCTACTTCTTCCTTTTTCTTTTATCATCTAAAACCCCTGACCGGAGTATCTTCTTCGAAATGGCTCTACTTCAATCCCACGCACTCTCACGCTTCACCATTCCGTCGCCGTCGATTCCCATCTCCGTCAATCCTCCGCCATCTTTTTCCTCAAGGAGAGATGTCCGCCGTGAAGCCTCGCCGTTATCTTCCTTCACTGCCGGAGACTTTTCCGTTTCGTCGTTGACGCGGCCGCGGAGGAAGCTTCTCTGCCCTCCGCCTCGTGGGAAGCATGTCAGAGAAGATTATCTTGTGGTACGGCCATTGCACACACACTTTGTCGGCTTTTCTTCTCCCTTTGCCTTTTTTTTTGTGTTATAATTTTTGGAGCTGTAGAAATTTGTCTCTCTTCTTTCATGTTTCCGTTCATTTTTATGGTTCCTTTAATATCTCTTATGAAATTTGATTCTTTGGAGGGGAGATTCTGATTTTCATTTGATGGAATTGTATCCACTGCAATTAGGCTCAGAAACCAAAAGTAGAGACAATTTCATGTGTGTATATATATGGGGGTGGACATGAAGAGACTCCTCACTGGTTGCTGAAATGCTTTCCTTTCCTGTGCATCGTTTGTTGGGACAGAAAAAGTTATCAGCTCAGGAGATTCAGGAACTGGTGAAGGGAGAGAGGAATGTGCCGTTGATCATTGATTTTTATGCCACTTGGTGCGGACCTTGTATCTTGATGGCCCAAGAACTTGAAATGGTACCGTCCCTTTGGCTGAGTTTCACGTGTGCAAGTATACATTTGCTTGATTTAAAGCTCAGTCTGCTGGTTTAGGTTTTGGCTGAATCTTGCCTTTTCCTGCTGTCCAAACACGTTCCTACAACGGAGGGCTGCCGAACAAGATGCCGCCAAGCTCGCATTAGCGCATCTTCTAACTGTGAACAAAGCTGCTTTCTCTGTCGATCTCCGCAAGGTTTGTTTATGCTTGTTTGTTCCCTTCTTTCCGTTTTGTATTTTCGTCTGATCAGTTTGACCTTTGTGACTTTGTCTAACTTGACTCGTAGTTGTGGCTCGTGCTAAGTAGTGTAACAAGACTAGGGTTGGCCAGTTTGGTTATGCTGAGACATAACGAGACAATGTGATATCTCGAGACAATGCTGGATTGGATGATGTTACACAATAGGATATAGGGTTTTGCTGCCTAACAGTTGATGTGTTTTGTGGCTAAGTTACTTCTTCTACCAAAGTTTAACTCAAAAATTAGAGCTACCTCACATTTGCTCGTTTTCAAATTAAAGGATATGAACTTTGTATTCATGATCGGGCGGAAAAAAATGCAAATTTGGGGGTCTTGTGGTTTAAACTTGTGATAATGTGTGACTGTTGTGCTTGACCATCTAACTGTTTGTGCTTCGGTACCTACTTGCTTGTATCAGGCTTTGACGATACCCTTTCTTTCGCCCTTGATTCTTGTTTGTGTTCAAATTAACCATAGAAGATGGTTTTGAAAGTGAAATTCATACTCCTCTGTTGTGATTCGACCTTATATCCCTGTTACACTTCCTGCTGTGCCACAAAACTGCTAGATGGGCTTTCTCCTATGCTGGTTTAGTAACCGGAATACATCTTCCTGCAGAATTTTTGTTGCAAATCTAGTATAGACATCAATCAAATGGTTTTATTTTCTCTGTGCAACAGCTTGCTGTAGAGTATGAGAGCAATGCAATGATTGTGAAAGTCGATACGGATGACGAGTACGAGTTTGCACGCGATATGCAGGTAACTCTCAACACCCGTTTCATCAACTCGCGTCCTCGACTTATTTTCTATCAGAAATCCTTTCTGAGAACTTTTGGATTGCAGGTCCGTGGCTTGCCCACATGTTTTTTCATCAGCCCTGACCCGACCAAAGACGCAATCAGGACGGAAGGGCTAATTCCAATACAGATGATGCGCGATATCATTGACAATGAGATGTGAAGTCGCTTAACGAGGAGAAACTGTCCAGATGGATGAAACCAGAGCCCTGTCTGTACCATGGTCGAGTGGACCTTACCATGGTTTAGGATTAGCTTCAACTCATTGCATATGTATATGCATCAATTTTGTAACATTTGTAATCGAATTAGATCAGATGCTCGAGGTTTCATCGATGAAGAAAGAGAGGGCAAATGCTTAAAAAAATGTACTCTAAACATTTATATGCAACGCTAGGTATTTTTTTTAATGAATTTAACTCAAATAAAAGTGTTTTCTTTATGTTACAGGAAAATATAGGAGACGAAGTTGCGATGAAAGAGATGACAAATAAGAAAGGAAATAAACGTAGTTTAAACTAACTGTTTATAATTATTTAAATAATGTATCCTAAATAATAAAACTAATTTGGATAATAGTACATCATTAGATGATATAAATATCAAAAATTAAAAAAAAAAACTCTTTTTTTTTTTAAGACTTTTTGTCCATTCCAACGAAATCCTTCTAATTCTAACATAAAATAGAAAAAAATTATTACGTGACATTAAAAATATTAAATAAAAAAAAAATTAAGTTGGGCTATTTACTTGGACCCACCTCCTTAAGATCCGTTACGCCCTCGTTTGGGTTTAAAAAAAAAAAAGAAAAAGAGAAAAAGAAAAAACAGTTTACCAATTAAATTAGAATATTAAAAAAGCTTTATTTTTCTCTGTTCACTCTTTCATCCTCTGGAGCCAAACTCACCAGGAACCCTAGATCTCACCCTGGCCGTCGGATCAGATCAACAGTTCCAATCTTAGGTGGCGGCAATGGTTGAGACAGAACAGATGTTGTTATCCGGTTCAGGTGTCGGCATTGTCGTCAGCTTGTAGCGTGTTGGGTGCATTCCCCTCATCTTGATGGCCGAGAGATCCAATTTTTTCTGGATTTAGGGCAAAAAACGAAAGGTTTTGTTATTACAGTGATGTGTGATTTGGTGGCGCGTACGGGTCGGCTTCAGCAGCGGTACGAGGATGGTTGCCGCCTTGTTGCCGGGTAGGAGCCATTCTTCGTTTTCTGTACGCGCATCATTGTATATATGTGTCTGTGTCTGGCGTTCCTGATCTTGCATGTAATGCGGCAAATTTGGGAGAAGTTTTCGGTGTGATATGAGATTTTTTTTTATCGACGTTATATGATTTCGCCGCATTTGTTCGAAGTCTTTATTGTTGAAGACGTTGGAGCGGTTTGATGGTGATTTGTCTTGGGGATCATGTACTAGAATATTCTTGTTTTCGAAATTTCTTCTGGGGCTTTTCGTGATTTTCTGTATCGGAATGGCAAGAATCAATTGGTTAGAAAAAGACACTCCTGGTTCTGATTAATCTCCATTATGGAAGAATGAGGAAGCTAGTTGGAAGATGGATGGTTTATTGATCTACAATGGTTATTTGTATTTGGGTTTCTTGCTAGAATACAGAATCATGATTCATGATGCCTTATAATACATAGCTTGATGATGAATCAATGATCTCTCTTGTTTGATGCTTTGGTTGTACAACTATTGGTTTATGCGTTAGCCTCATGTTATTTGTAAGTCTCTAGGCTCAAGGGTCAAGACCAACCTGGATTATTGCATTTGGATCTCCCTCCATGGTTTGAAATGATTGTTGTGTTAGTGGTATTTATGTAAGAGTTCTAGAAACATTAGTGAGTTGCAAATTCTGTGGGTAATCTGTCATATCCCGACCAGGCTATCTCACTTTCTTACCTCTCTAGGATGCTTCTGCAAGAATTTCTAGCGTGTGTTTATTGCTCTCGGTCTTGCGCTTATGTCTGACCTTCAAATCGTGAGTTGTGGTTTCCTGTATGATTTATGCTTTCAACCTGTTTCTATTGATCTTATGGTCATGGATCAATCGAAAAATGAACAGAGCGTTAGTTATGGTTTTGTGTGTGGAGGAGATTATTTACCTGACTGAACAGTTTTTGAATATTGTGGGATGTGATGTGGCAGATGTATTCCATTTAGATATAGAAACTTCGACGATGGTGATCCCGACTCCGAGAAAGTCATCGAAGTGTTGATGATCAGTTCACCTAGCGGGCCTGGTCTTTTGTTTCCAAAGGTATAGAATCATAAAAATGTATCCTTTTTCCATCTTCCTCTCCCAGGCGAAAAAAGTAACATAATCGATTATTGAATTCTCTTATAGGGAGGTTGGGAGAATGACGAGACAGTGGAGGAGGCTGCAGCCAGGGAAGCTGTCGAAGAAGCAGGAATTCGGGGGATTCTTTTTGTAAAACTCTTTCTGCCACCCATCATTTTCCACTCTTTCGCATGCCTCGGGATTCATGGGCATTGATTGAATGAACATGATATATGCTTAACGTTTCAGGATTTCTTGGGGTGTTACCGGTTCAAGAGCAAGACCCACCAAGACGAATTCTGCCCGGAAGGTGTATGCAAAGCGGCGATGTACGCGCTGTACGTGAAGGAAGAGCTGGAGTCGTGGCCAGAACAGGACACGAGAACTCGGGCATGGCTGACGATACCAGAAGCGGTAGAGAGTTGCCGACATGCGTGGATGAAGGATGCTTTGGAAGAAGGCTTCTGCAAATGGCTTCAGCAGAAAGGAGGGGACATTGCCGGTGAAGATTGAACTCAATACTCAAGTGTGTATAACTCAAGATCCAACAAAAGAAAAAATAGTTGGGAAAAAAAGGAAAATATATAAAGAAGATTTACAGAAACAACGAGTAGAACTGTCATTAAAACTGTCTTTTTTTTGTTTTGGTCTCAAATTTGTGCAACCTTAAATGGTTCGTCCCGTTTTTTTTTTCCTTGGAATCTCCTATTTTGGATATTATTATGGAGTTGATGAAACATATGAATTTTGTTTTGTCATTTTTTTTATGATGTCATCTTTTTGGAATTACATAGCAAGTGGTTATGTAATCTGTCAACAATATGCCATATGGTGTGTAACAGTCTTAGCCATAGTAGAGAAAAAAAAATCATAGTCAAAGAAAAAAGAGAGGAAAGATTATGGACTGACCATTTCATAACCTTTTTGATGTATTAATTGCTAATTACGATTATTAGCATGATTTGGTTCGCTTATATAAAATCAAATTGAACAACACATAACATAACCCGTGACTTAATCAAATATGATATAAAACCGAATTAATATGATTTTTTTCGAAACGGAGGCTAAACACGAATCAAATACAGAAAAACCGAAAAATAAAAACATTATCGAATCAAAGTTTAGTGTAGTTTTTTTACCAAAAAAAAAGTCTAGTGTATGGACCAATAAATATCTTAAAAAAAAAAAAAAGAAAACCAATAAATATCTTCTAAACCGGAACCTCTAAATCGGTTCTCGAGTAGCTTCGTGGGTTAGGCCGACGGTCTTTTTTTTCAAAGGCCCAATTTTAGGGTATAAATAAATTTTATGATTTGGGCTTCTGTTTTATGACCCATAAACTTAAGGGATATATCCACATTTCCTTCCAAACTCAGCCCTAGAATTCGTACGACTCTCCGACAAGCGCATCGCCGACATCTCATGTTCCCGGCTTCTGCTCCGTCGCAGGGAGAGGCTCTCCCTCTTACTTCCTCTGTTCTTAAAGGTCGGCCTCCTTCTAGTTCTCGAGACTGTACATGTTCGAGTTATTCATTTTCTGGGTATTTGTGTTACAGTTGTTGCTAGTGAATTCCTGCGGTGAAATTGATACTCGGAACATGAACAAGAACGAGATTGCTTGTTCGAAATCGTGTTTTCCGATGCGAGCTTCGTCTTCCACTAGTCGAACTCTTACTGTTAGGTTTTGTTGAAATCAAATGTTCTGTCTGTTCCTGCATATGGATTTACTCTGTCTGAAAAAAAGTCAATTCGATTATGTTAGTCGATGATCGGTATGCATTCTTTAGCCGACCCAGAAATGATTTTTTTCTTCTAAAATTTTGATTTTGATTTTTCAGGCGCGGAACCAAAGAATAGTTTAATTCATTATTGTCGGAAATCATGCTTGCCAATGCCGACGTTTCAAGTTGTGAATGAAGGGCCTCCTCATGCGCCGGAATTTAGAGGTACTGTTTTGGTGAATGGAGAAAGCTTTGCATCTCCAAACACGTTCCTACAACGGAGGGCTGCCGAACAAGATGCCGCCAAGCTCGCATTAGCGCATCTTCTAACTGTGAACAAAGCTGCTTTCTCTGTCGATCTCCGCAAGGTTTGTTTATGCTTGTTTGTTCCCTTCTTTCCGTTTTGTATTTTCGTCTGATCAGTTTGACCTTTGTGACTTTGTCTAACTTGACTCGTAGTTGTGGCTCGTGCTAAGTAGTGTAACAAGACTAGGGTTGGCCAGTTTGGTTAATAATCGGATAATTGAATCAATTCGAACACAATAACACGTAATTTTAACCGAACCGAATTCGATATAGAAATCGAATGGTTTTCATTGCTCTTAAACCGACGAAACCAAACTTGAACTGAATAAAAAAAATTAACTAGTAAAATCGTTTTTTTAAAATGAGTACTTTTATCAAAATCCAGACCAAAATCAATATGAAAACCGAATGGTTATAGTTTTTTAAAACCGAAATAACTGAATCCAACCTGAACCGAAGCCCCAAATGGCCAGCTGTAGTTGTGGCATCAAGTGGTTAGAACATACATGGAAAATGATGGCGATAGCAATGAGCATATGTGATCATGATGAATATCTAAATTCATTCTATATGGATAATGGATTTGATTTTGACTTCAATGCCAGATTGCTTTCCCTAGCTTTCTCAATGCCAAACCATTTGCTCAATTATTATTTTCCAATCTTTTGCAGTTGGTGTCTCAGGACAAGTCACTTTGCAAAATGATAGTGTACGAGTTAGCGGTCAAGATGAATCTGGGGAGGTGCAAATATGAGACACTTGAGGTTAAAGAACATTCGACTCCGACGTTTGCTTCATCTCTGGTGTTAAACGGTACACGTTATAAAGGCGACTTTGGCAAGAGTAAGAAAGAAGCTGAGCAATTAGCAGCACATGCTGCGATACTTTCCCTTCTTGGTAAGGATCTTGTTATGCTTAAAAGGAATATGTCAAAAACAAAGATCTTTTCTTGGGTTAGTGAATGACGTGAATTTTTGCAGGTGATCCTACATATGCTGTGTCGTTGTCTGAAGTTATTATGCCTAAACTCAAACCTTATGCTGCTTTTCTTGGAAAGGGCTTGGAGATAAATATTTCTGTAATCGATAAAGCGGTCAGGACTGCCACTGTAGACAATAATATCCTGACACCGCTGAATCAGCAAGTGGGTGCAATAGAACAAAGCAGTTCCAGGGTCATGGTCAATAATAATATGCCGGAAATGGCGAATTCAGAGGCTGAGACAGTAGAGCAAGGCGGTTCTCGAGTCTTGACTAATAAGGTAGACGATTCTGGAGTTTTGTGTAGCAATAAGAATGTACCACAGATGGTGAATTCACAAGATAAGATTAAGGAGCAAGCTGGTCATGGGGTCATAGCCAATGAGCAAGGCAGTTCCCCGGTCGTGGCTGATAAGCAAGGCGATTCTGAAGGATTGGGCAGTAAGAATATGCCAGAGATGGTGAATTCACAGGCTAAGATGAATGAGCAAGGGGTCCTAGCCCAAGAGCAAGGCGATTTTGGAGGATCGGGCAACGAGAATACTCCAGAGATGATGAACTCATCGGCTAATAATACGAAGGAGCAAGGCGATTCTGGTGTCATCGCCAATGACAATGAAACTCTGTTCACTAAGGCTTCTTGTCATGGCTGCATAGAAATGCATCCTTCTCCACATGAATCCCAATTGCAACATCCAGACCCCTCGATTTCTCAGCCCATCGGTTTCCCGGATGAGTCCACGCAGTCAGCAACGGTGCCAAGTCAGGATTCTGTCTCGAGGTCTACTAAAAAGCGACAAAGGAGGAAGAAGAACAAGGCAAACAAGAGATTGCAAACCGAGAACAAGTAAGTTTATCTTGTGGTTCCCTCCCTGTCTCTGCCTTGGTTCCATCTTCCCCTGTGATGGTCGGAAAAAGATTGCAGTGAATGAATCTACCTTTAGGAAAGTTGCCAACCTTTTAGTTATTTGGGGCTAACCAATCAAATTTTAGTCGTGGCATGAGGAAAAACGTCATTGCCGAATTATTTGCAAAGGGCAGGTGTAACTATAACCACAGATTCGGAATAATTAATTATCGATGGTGAAACGAGATTAAGCCAATTAATTAAACCTTTAGCTTAATGGTTTCTGTTTCGCACGATTTGGCAGTGACGGTACGGACGTCGCACAAGTGCCTACGGAAGCGCAGCGAGGGGAAATGGAAGGATCCGAATGAAATTGTAAATGGGTAGTTTGTTTTGGTAGATGTGGATTTTTATGTATTTTGCTTTGCGGTTTATGATTAGTCTTGGCATTTTATATATATATATATATATATATACCGATGTGTAGTATAAAACAGCTGTTTTGTATAATAAAATCGAACAATCTGGTGCTAAAATTGTTTTGAACCGAAGAGAATTAAAATGAATATGAATCGGTAAATTTATAGCCAAGGACAATATATATGTTTTTGGCATAAATATAATATTATAAAAAAATTTAATAGAAAATCTTCCATTTTATGTTTTATTATTTTAATATTTGCTTTGATTTTGAATAATTCAAATTAAATAAAAACAAATCTAATTTTTAAAACCGAATTTTATTCATATACAAGTACATGTTATTTTATTCTGGTAGATAAATGCAGAAAGACATCAGTTTTTTATTCACATATCAATGCAATACAAAAAAAAAAAAAAAAGCTTATTCTGTTTCTCTCAAACATTCAAAGATTACAATGCATATCGGCCCTATGATATATATGATGTTTCACCCCTGAAAGGGTCGAGGGAAAACCCGTTTAGCAGACAACATCGGCCGCAGACGGAGATCTAGCAATGTTTTTGAGGGACATAGGGTTCCATTTCAAGGCATTTGCCACGCAGTTCCTGTCTGAGATTCCAACATGAGTTGCTTCCATTGTCAGCTTTTTCTTCTTCTTCTTCTTCTCCATGGATACAGACTTGAGCCTATGCCTCTCTGCCCTTGATCCTATCATCTGTCCTAACACAGATGCTGCTATTGTGAAAGCCATGGCGGTTTTCGGCATCAACACGGATTTCCTCAGCATTGCTATGAAGGGAACAGCTGCATGGACGGCCACAAACCAGGAGGGTGAGAATTTCTCTGTGTGCTCTCTCCAGACACCTAGAGGAACGTTCAGTGCCATTCCCATGATTCCGATGACAAGTACTTTGGCTGGCAAGGGCTGCGGTCTGAGGTTCTTCGCGAAAGCCGTCTTTGCTAGCACGGCTCGGGCTGCAACAATGGCCGGTGGGCACCTCAGTTTCATGCCCGGACCAGGCTGCAAAGCCTTTGCCACAAGCGGCAGAACACCGCTCACAGCTCGATACGACTTTGCGATAGGGCAGTTTCCCGTTTGAAGCCATTCGCTGCTCGTAGATTCGTGCTTCGAGTTTTCACCCTGAAAGAGCAACAATAGTTAAGCGAGATAAGATTCTGAGATGATGAATGCAAGAGCTAAGCTTTCTCATTAGAACACTTTCTATGGTTCCTCTCTCTGCTTTAACAGAAAACATTTCTGATCAAAAGTCGTAACTGTTTACCTTTGAAGAAGAAGAATCCTTCTTCTTCTTGGATGATTCTGATTTTTTCTGGTGATTTATCCACTTGGCGGAAAATGCGTCAAAGCCAAAGGGCCCTCCAGGTCCAAATGATGAGAGACTAATAGTTGCCGCCTTTGCAGCAAGAGGATGGAACGCAGGAGGAGAAAGCACAGGCCTTTGTGCCTCAGACGAAACCACTGATCTCTCCGAGAGGGGGACTACTCCGTCACGCCCGTGGAAAACCCTGAATGCCACATCAAAATTAGGCCCATCTTCAAAAATTGGACCTTTTCCTGCCCTTGCCTGAAGAAATGCAAGCCGCCAGTCAATTTAGCATCAGATGTCCGATGAGAAAGCTGCTAACGAAGTGAGTCAGATCATTGCTTACAGGCATGGGAAAAGGAAGGGATGAAGAAAGTGAAAAACTGGTGGGTTCATTGATGTTCCGCAAGAACGGACACCGGAGAATGTCCAGTTGAGAAGGCATGGTATCTTCATTCAAGCCTCCAAAAGAATAGTCCATTAGAGTTGTGGATCAAAAGAGAAACCTGTCCACACAGAGGAACAAAACCAAGCAACACCAAAAGTTGTGTCAAGACAAATCACAATCTTCTGTTCTGAGACAAGCTGGCTGCCGAAAGAACATGCTACTCTGGTTCCAGATACTGTAATGCCTTACAGCTAGTGTATTTGTTTGCTTCTAATACAATTTACCCGAAACAAGGACCAGATACCGAGTTTTTGGTACAAAATTGATGAATTCACAGCTATCTCCATATCTAATCTGAACCAAAGAGTGACAGAATCATAGAATCACAGCTCTTTCTCCGGCTATTATGGAAACAAGACAGAGCATGATCATAATCTGCAAATTTTTTTAATCAATTACATACAAGAGGCATATAGAAACCAACCCATCAAAAAACTAAGCATGACAAGATCAACCCTAACAAACCCACAAAGGAAAATCACAGAGTGGGTGAGAAAAGTAAAATTCTTGAAAATAAACACGATGGTTTCATACGAAGTCGGTAGAGAGGTATACGATGTAGCCCAGATTTTGCCCACCTGAGAGAGAGGAAAAGACAGAGAGAATCGGTATGCCCTACCTAGAGTCAAACCGAACATCTGGTAAAACATCAGATCGTATAAAACGAAACTGCTGAGAGAGAGATAAACGAACAGACAAGATGTAGAATCGAAATCACGGATTACACAACACGCCGATACAGAAACCGAAAAAGGGAGAAACAGCAAGAGACCGAAGATACCTTGAGAGCAAAGGCAGAGAGAAAATGGTAACAAATTTCAGATATACATACATACATACATACATACATACATATATATATATATATATAGAGAGAGAGAGAGAGAGAGAGAGAGAGAGGAGTAGGTGAGAATGTGGAGAAGATGGGGAAATGATTTAGGTATGTTTATGACAACTGGAAATTTAGTCCAACTGCGTCGTGGTCGCCACGCGCCTATTGGGCGTTTCCTTTAGCAATGCGCTCTTTTTTTTTTTTTGTAATTGAACCCTCAAAACCGTCGAGTAAAATTGTAATAGCCCTTCGTATAATCTTTTACTCAATCTGATTTTTCCATTGGAAAAAATAATTAAAAACAATTTGTTTTATTCTGTGAATTTGAGTTGGGTTAATTTAATAATTATCAAATTATAACAAATCAATTTTAGATCATATTAAATTAATATCTGTTACACATTCTTCGATTTTGTATATTGATTTTCTAGAATAAATGTAATGTACACTCTTTGTATCACATGATTAAAGACAAACATAGCCTCAAAACCCCTACCGCTATCTAATCATGTTTTTCATTAATTTTAAAAGGTGTAATTTAGTAATATCATTTCTTTAACATTAAAACTTTTCACAACGAATCAAATCTTTCTATTACAACGTGGACAAGTAAAAATGAAATATTGAAATATCAACATCTTATATTATTTCTAATCTTAACTGCAATTGACATTTTCAATCGACCCAATGTTTCAATTTCAACATAAAATTTAAACATATATCAATTTAAATTCATCTGCATTGATCAAAATCACGTTGTTGTCCTTACCAAACCAATCATGCCTTGATCTCTTTCCAACATTATCCACTCAACATATGACAGAAACGATCTTTTACTCTCTTTTCTACTCTAAAGAAGCAATGTTCCAGCTGCTCTCATATTTGTAAAAACCTTTCTGGGCGATAGATCCAGTTGCTCTGAATTTGCTCCACAGCATGCATCTGCATCCACAGCACAGATAGATCCAGTTACTAACAAATCAAGAACCCAGAATACATATACATATACATATATCTATCAATTTGAGCTGTAGCTTGTAACCAGACAGGTGAATAAACCAGAGGGTGAGGGAAGATGAGATCGAAAACCTGATCTTTGGGGTTAACAAGAGTGTGCTTAGGCAGCGGCCTTCTCTATGATGCTTTTATAATATTGCGTATAACGAGCATTGCTCTTATGCTTTTCGAGCTGCATGGAAACCCGTATTAGCAAAAACAAATTAGATTTGTAAGCCTAACTTGAGCAGTTTAGAAATTTTAGAATGAATAAAAACTAACCTGAAGAAACGTTTCGACAGATTGGTGATCTTTTGGCGAGAAAGCTGCCTCTTCTCTCTTACTTTGCACAAATTTTATGTTCTCTTCCACCTGTAACATGAAAAGAACGTATCTTCGCATGATATCTTCGTTTCTTTTCGATACTATGAAAAATCTCAGACGCGGAAGCTTTGATAATATGAAAAAACAAAAGCAATGATATATACATGTTCAATAAAACGCTTCACCCCACGCCGTGTGCCTTCATTAGGGGTAGCAGTGGTATTCTCAATAAACTTTTTCAGTGCCATGACCGGAATAGTTGCAAGCTCGGGAAATGATATGTGGAAGCTCCATTGAGCAAAGTGAACCGCAAGCAGCCCGATGACAGAGGAGATGCATTGTTCTTGGAAATTTCGAGACTTCAACCAATTTTTCGGCAACTGTTTCATATACACGAAACAAGAGTCTATCAGCAACACAAAAGCATGATATCTTTTCATGTTCGGAAACAATCCAAAATCTTTGGGTTAGCCATTTCACGGCTGGGTTAGCACGATATCTTGGTTTACTATGGGGTTTCATGCGACCAAGTTTACCCTACAAAACATGTTTCACATTTCACGCAAGGAGGGTGGACCAGTTATTTATAATGAACTCGACAAATTTCAAAGATTCAGATTTCCAACCTTCACGGATGACAAAACTTCAAGCTCCTTCTCTTGCTTTTCACGATCTTTAGTGATTTTATATTCCAAAATATCCAGTACCAATGATGCTACTGGGATGAAAATTCCGCTCGCACTAGAGAGATGATTTAGCCACTTAATGCATCTGATCCTTAGCGGCAGATATCGTGGCCCAGGGAATAGTCGAGCTACCCCATTTATAATCTGAATCATAGTATGAAGCAGAGGCTGAAGATCACAATCTCGAATGTTTGCAGCTATGAAGTTCACCCACAGATCAACACAGTTTGTGTATTGCCAGCCATATATCTTCTCAACGGTTTCCTGTTGACAAGAATTGAAGAAGAAAAGAAATATATAAGAGAAGTTGAGGAGAGGAAAGAGAATGAGAAAATTAGAGGTTTATGCAAATCCAAAGAAGCACCTTCTTTTTGGTCCTGAGAGCCACCTTCAATAACTTAGCAAGTTGCATAATAGAAATCGAGGCCTTTGTGTAAGATTTCTGCACATCTTGGGAGCAAAGCTCAACAAGAGAATCTCTGAGGAACAGCAAATGTTTCGATGAAACTGCCTCGGAGAAATTGCAGTCACGAAGAAAGGCTTTGTACATGTTGACCAAGCAGGCATCAAAGCAATCCGAGTTAAAAATCATAGCGACATCTTTAATGATTAAAAAGGACTGCTGTGACAGAGTTCCTTCACCAGTTAACCACAAGTGAACGGCAGTCTGCAGAAAATTCAACACACTATTAATATTAGTGTTCCTTCAGGAAAAAACAAGTAACATCATATCTGAGATAGGCTAAGAACACCGATAAGAGCAAATATCTAAACCTTAAAAGTCCGAAGAATTCAAGTTAATTTAAGTTCACATTGTGAACACATAATTGATAATGCATGCCCCTAAATACAGAAGTGCTATTTCAAGACTCACAGGACAACCCATGATTGCAAGTCTAGACATTCAAATGCACATACCTAAGAGAAACAGTGTATATATATATCTGCATATTTTTGGGTTTCAACTTTCTCCCTGAAAGTACCTTGATGAGATGTTGCAGCAAATTTGGAAATGCGGCAAAAAATGGGATGGAGGCTCTAAGTTGGGTCAGGGCGAAGACTAACATCTCCGAATCCGAGGCCTGATTAAGGAAATACGAGGTACTTCTTAAGTATGACTTGATCAACGGCTTTAGATTATCCCATTTGGGGGTGTTCTTCAACTTTAGAATCTTCTCCTTGTTACTGGGGCCTGCTATTCCCAACATACTCCTAAAAGTACTATCGGCTTTTTGGAGCACAAAAATCAAGATCTTGGAAAATGTCTCGCTGTCTCCAATGTCATAGCCTACTCCAGCCTCAAAAAGGCCAGATGGTTCATTCCCATAATGGCATGCAGCTCGATACCCATTTAGTAAACTAGCCAATGCATGAACAGACTGCTGCTTTTCAAGTAGGTCACAGCAAGAACTTAAAATAGAGCCTGTGAATAATTTCCGCTTCATTATATCTGAGTGGGTTTCATCTACCAACTGCATGGGATCATCAATAGCTTCATCTTCATCAAGATACTGCATCACAAGAATTATAGAAGAAATAAGCATGAACATTACAGCTTATGAGCAGAAACCTATGATCTAGATCACCATATTTCATAATAGCAAAAAACCCCATTCTAATAAGATGCATAATGAGATAATGCACTAGCTCACTATCAAAAGCCTGTCACAGGTTCGTACAGATATAGATATGCTCACATACGCATACTTCTGCATGTGAATTCTGGCATACACCACTGGCATAACACGAGAAATATTTCCAACAAGAAACTTACATCATCTTCATGTCTTGATTGCCGTATGCCTTCACTGTAAGTTTTCAGAAACTTCGCAAATTTTGGGTCCTGAAATTGGTTTGCAAAACATGCTAAAGTTATATGGACATACTTTTTAGATTAGTTCCCCCCTTTTCTAGGTGATCAGGGATTCGGGCAAGGAAATCGAAACAAATAACAGGTCTCATGAGACTACAGGCTCTCCTCAAAGAAACCCATGAAACTCAATAAATTGATCTTTAGACAATACAAATAACTGTTACCTTTTGTTTCAACCTATCAAGCTTATTCCTCTTCTTTTTAAGGTCTGATACCATCTCCTTGCTCTGCACTGACCAAGCATTATCATGGATACTACCTGCAGTTTTAAGGAGTCAGATAAGAATGGAAAAAAACTTAGAAACGATTATGATTCCTACAACATGGTAGACCCATTACCTTCCACGGAACAATCCTTTTCCTTTTCTGTGGCATCTGCAAAGCCAGTGTCCTAAACATAGAATAATAACAAAATGAATGTTTGCAACGGTTACAAGAAAGAATGATAAGCATAAAGTGAAAAAAAAACCTCGGACAGATATCCATCACTATCTGAGTCATCACTGAGCACTTCATCATCATCCTCACTGAACACAGCGTCTATGGATATATCTTGAGCATCTTCTTCATGGTTTCTGAAGACATGTAAACAAAATAACATATTACTGCATGACTAAACATTGAGTGGCACTACACTGTTCAGTCTGTTCTAGCACCTAAACAAAAAGCAAAGCCATAATACAAAGAGAAAAAATCCCTTGCAGTAAATACTATGAAATCGAGAGATATTAAAGAAGAAATTAAAGCATAATCCTCCAAACAGACTTACTAAGCTCTTGTTCTACAGCGACATAAAACCCTTACCTCTTGTTCTGCTGCTCTATCTTATTACCCTCTTCATCTTCCACTTCTTGACGTTCATCTCCTGAAGTATGGAATTCAACAGAATATATAAAAAAAACAATCAGCTATTTGTTGGATAGAACCTTTATTTCTGATTCTAAATTTTATTACTTGATAAACAATCATCAACACATACTAACAACCGAAGAAGAGACAATTTACAAAAACAAAACATCCTCTATGACATGGGAAAGATGACAAAAGTATTAGCTTAAATCACGCGTACACAATGGACATACTAATGGATGGCAAGGAACCATGTGCAGGATTTTGCTCTCGGCCCAAAAAATCAAGCTTATACAGAAAACAGGATAAAAGAAAAACTTGCTTTTAGCTTCTTTTCGTTTGAAGAAGGACTTCAACTTCCGTTTCCGCTTCAGCACAGACTGGAGATTCTTCTTGGCAAACTTCCTAGCTTTCTTACCCAACTTGCCCATTTTCCTACAAATGCATCAACTGACCAAATTTTGTAAAAAATCTCGTAAATGGAAATTCAAATTCTGCGAATTTTGTCGCACATTCAGAACAACCCAGATGGCGAGCCAAATGTGAATCAGGCATCGTCCACATTAGCGACAGGAGGAAATATTCTTGGGTGAGAAAACCGTGGTTAAGAAGCTGAAAAAATCTAGTGCTTCCATGATTAAGAAACCAAAGGAGATAAGATACCTGAAAGACCTCGGGAGTGGAGAGGTATCGCCTGATAGATCCAAATGATAATCTGAATTCGCAAATCCTAACGGCCTCCGGAAACGGATGAGGAGCCCTGATGACCACGGCGAACAGACTCCGGCGAGCTACGGCGGGAGAAGGGAATAAAGACGAAGAAAGAAACGGCTTTTATGGTTCTACGTTTCTGTGCAGTCTAGGGTTTATGATTTTCGGGGGGTTTTAAGCAGACGAGGCAGAATTGAAAATATCAGGTTTTTTGGGTGGGAATTTAAAACTTTACATAAATACGTGGAGTTTTTTATGAGAGCCATTCGGTTCGAATTGAAAAATCGCTAGAGTTTTAGGTCAGTAATGCAATTTCTAAAACTCTAGGAGGGCTTGCAAATTTAATTAAGAACGATAGGAGTGAACTAAAATTATCGTATACTTTTTGTGAAAATAAGCAAAATATGGGTTTGTTTTGTAGTTTTCCATAAATATATGGGTAAAATTGAAAATTGTTAGCCGTGAGGCATCAGAAACTCTTTCCAACAGTTTTGCCTCCCCCCGTTCTTTTTTTTTTCCACTCACCAGATTCTCTCCCTCTTCCCGGCGACCTCTTCCGACCGCCGTCTGGCGTTTTCACGGTCGCTCCGCTTTCTCAGTTCACAATTACAAGGTGCGCCTCAATGTTCTCTCGTCGTTCTCTATTGCTCGCTTTTGATTTTGTCCTTGTTACGGCAGATCTGGAGAAGTTTTCGCTTCTCTGTAACACTGATTTGCTTGATTTCCTTCAGTTTATGTGCTACGAACGTTAAATATGCGTTCACTTTCGAGCTGAATCCATCAAAAGCTCCTAGAGTTCACATGTGTTGAAGTTTTACGACTCCCGGTACAATCGAACTGTTCAAAATGCGCCTTTTCTCGATGTTTCATTGTTAGTTTCTGCTAAAATCTCCAAAATTGGTCTTTCCGTAGCTTGTTATGACGCTATTGCTGACACAACATGACTGGAAAATTTTGCTCAGCCGTTGTAAGTTATCGAGTGTTTCGATGCTTTTGAAGATTTAATGTTCGATCGGTTTGCCCTAATCCATATTTATCTGATTCCTTATTCTTGTTTTCCCCTAAATGTTTCTGAGTTTATCCATGAAATGTTCCGGTCTGTGTTGGATTCTAAGAAGTTTATTTGTTTTGTTTTGTGTCAACGAGTTGTAGCAGTTTGAGTGAATTTGGTCGAGCCAAGTGATGATATACACTGCAATTGACAATTTCTACCTAACCGATGAGCAACTGGGGAACTCACCTTCAAGAAAAGATGGGATAGATGAAAGCACTGAAAATACGCTGAGGATCTATGGATGCGATCTCATCCAGGAAGGCGGAATATTGCTCAGACTGTATCCTCTTTACATTTCAACTTTTGTGCCTTCTGTTAATTTTGTGTGCTTGATTATGTAAAATCTTATTTTGCTTAACCTATGTTATCTTTAGACCTCAAGCAGTTATGGCTACTGGACAGGTTCTATTCCACCGTTTCTACTGCAAGAAGTCCCTCCTTAAGTTTGATGTTAAAGTTAGTAACACTGTTACTAAGTTCTTTTTTTTAGTGTTTGGAGACCTTCAAAACCTGGAACCACCGCATGTTTCACTTGTATTTTAGTTTGACAGATATATCTATTATCTCTGTATCTGCTCTAACCATAAGGATCCATGATTCACCTTGTGCAGATAGTTGCTGCTAGCTGTGTATGGCTCGCATCAAAATTGGAGGAAAACCCTAGGAAAGCAAGGCAGGTCATCATTGTCTTTCACAGGATGGAGTGCCGGAGGGAGAATTTACCAATAGAGCATCTGGATTTGTATTCAAAGGTTAGAATCCTCGTTACATCAATCTTATGTGTCCAGTGACATTTTGCTATTAGACAATTTCATATACATCATGGTGTTTGTCAAGCAGAAATAGTGAAGCCCTTCTGACCTGCCATGTGTTTTTTATTCCCAGCCGCGGATACTTTACTCAGAACTGCTGTCCATTTAGCATCATTTCCAGATCTCATTTCTTTCCTACTTTTTTAACCTTTCACAGAAATTTTCAGAGTTGAAGGTCGAGTTGAGCAGAACTGAGAGACACATACTGAAAGAGATGGGTTTTGTTTGTCATGTCGAACATCCCCATAAGTTCATATCAAACTACCTTGCCACACTTGAGACACCTCCAGAGTTGAGGCAAGAAGCTTGGAACTTAGCCAATGATAGGTAACCATGCATTCAACTTCTTTTGAGAATATCCTATCTTTCATGACCTTGGTACTGCTGGTTAATCATGTCCTCAATTTGGTAACTAATATAAGGAACTTTTACACTATTCTAATTTCGTAGGAGTAAGTTTCTTTTGTTTCAGCCTCTGTTCATGGTCTTTATGCTTTTTGTCGGGTTTTAATATTCGTGAACTCTCTCTGGAAACAGTCTACGTACTACACTGTGTGTAAGATTCAAAAGCGAGATTGTGGCTTGTGGGGTCGTTTATGCTGCGGCTCGTAGATTTCAAGTACCGCTCCCTGAGAACCCGCCCTGGTGGAGAGCATTTGATGCAGATAAATCTGGGATTGATGAAGTGTGCAGGGTCCTTGCACACCTCTACAGCCTTCCAAAGGCTCAGTACATATCAGTCTGCAAGGATGGGAAGTCGTTTACATTTTCGATTAGATATGGGGATTCTCAAGCTCAGCCCACTACAAAGGTGAGTCAGATTGGTTAAACGCATAAATTTTTGCAATAGCATCTTCCCTCCCTTTGTGTTTGTCATCTGCATGTGTCCATGACGTATGCCTCTACGTTTATTTCTTATGTATAAAAACCAAAACAGACTTTAGTTTCAATTATTGCAGGATGAATGAAAAGTAGTTTTGCTTTTGTCGGTCGGTCCATCAGAACCTGAAATCTGAGTGCATGTTTTCCGTAATCAGAGCAATCAAGTTTGATGAATTACTTTTGCCGCTGTGTGTTACAGGACGTTTCCCAGCGCAGCCCCTCTGTTAATGATGTTGGTGGTGATTCCAAGGTTACTCCAGGATCAGGTAATACTGATTCAAAGGGCAGTGGAACATCAGCAGTTCCTCCTCCAGAAAAGTCTACAGATGCTAGGAAGAATGACAATGAGACGAAGAATAATGCGCCGATTGAAGGAGAGAGAAGAGAGGAAGCTACCAGAAAATCCAAGCCTGACGAAAAGAGTAAAGATGGGGAGAGAGACCGAGACAGAGATAGAGACAGAGACAAGGACAGAGAGAGGGACAGAGATAGAGCAAAGGAACGGGATCGAGATCGAGGAGACAGGGACAGGGACAGAGAGAGGGAAAGGATTCGGTCCCGTGATCATCATCGCTCTAGAGAGAGACCAAAGGATTCAGGTCAGTGAAACGTTTTCTGTTTCAGGCAACCTTAGCTCTAAGTAGGGCGGGTGGCCAGGAATAACTGAACCGATCTGCCAAATAACACATAACTGTTACCAAAACGAATTCGATGTAAAAACTGAATGGTTATGATTTCTTTAAAACCGAGAAACGAATACCCAAAATGGCCACCCCTAGCTAAAGTGGTATCTCTCAGGATTCTATCACCTCTTCAAAACACTAGCTTAATCTCGTAGCATCATATGAACACAGGGGGGCATTCAGATAAATCAAGACATCATTCGTCCCGGGGTGGTATGTTTATGTTTAACCCTTCTTTCTTTTTACCAGTTTTGCTTGTAATAATGTGATTTTACTGATTTACATACCTTTTTATTTTATTTTTTTGGACGAGTTTCAGATCGTGAATATCATGGATCGCACTCAACAAAAGACAAGGACCGTCATAGACACCATTAGCGTGCTTGAGAGAGAGGGCCATCCATATCTTTCCATCTTCAATGTGAGAATCTCGAATCTGCTTTGCTTATTATGCACCGTGTTTCCTTTTTCCGCAGCGGCCCACAGTCCATGCAAGTCATTGACTTGACCCTCTTTCATATGGAACCAAAGCACAAGCAAAATATATTTATGGGATTTAATTTCTTGTCCAAACTTAGCACTTGATGGATGTGTTCTTCATTTGTCGGAAACTGTACAAGAGAAATTGAAACATACCGATATTCCTTTAAATATTATCTGCGGAATTTGGTAGAAATATTTTCATTTACGGATCTAACCCTAAAAATATGCGTTGAAATGGCCTACTCTGGGCTGGGTATTTTTTTTTTGGGGGTTGTTCATTTTGATTATTTTCGAGTTTTGTTTTAACTGTTTTGAAAAGATTATGTTGGATTCGGTTTGTTACCGTTTTTGTTCGGATCTGGGTTTTTTTATTATTGATTTTTCGTATGTAAGGGAAAGA